AGAGGCGGGCGGCGGATTTGAGGGTGAAGGAGAGGGAGAGGGCGTCGGGGCGGGAGGAGGAGAGGAGGAGGAGGGGGTAGAGGGAGAGGGAGGGGGAGGGGTCTGAGGAGAGGGAGTGGCCGCGGAGGAGGGCGTTGAAGTCGTTGGTGGTGGGGGAGAGGGTGAGGCGGAGCATGGTGGTGGCGTGGGGGAGATCGCCGAAGGGGGAGATGGCGAAGAGCTCGGATAGTTTGGAGCGGAGGGAGGGGAGGAGCTGAAAGAGGCCGCCGGAGATGAGGTGGCCGTGGATTTGCTTGAGATGGTTGAGGGATGAACAGCGGTGGAGGAGAGAATCGAGGGGATGCATCGAAGCATACATCTCTGGAATTTTGATAGAATAGCGCTGGTCAGGTATAATTGTAATTCCACTTTTTTGGCAATTGTTTATATTTGGGAAATTTATATTCATAGAACACACCTCATAAGAAGTGATGTAAATATAGAGAAGATTAAGGGCTCTAGCTAGAAAAATTGATGTAACATATTGTTTTTAATTGCTCACAATAAGGTGTAAAAAGATATCTATAGAGTAATATTAAATTAGTTATAGAGCTTTTGTTATTATGAGAAAAAGTAAAAGCTTAAAGAAATTCCAAGTAGAGTACTTTATTGAGCTTCTTATGTGGTATTTGTGCATGTTTAGATGAATTACATTTTGAAAACTTGACTAAACATATGCTGAATAGGTGAGCTATGTGGCCTCTTTGAACTATGGCATGACAAATGTGTCTAATGTGAATGGTGAAATTGTTAGGTTCATTTGGATTTTTTAGGGATGATCAAACTACTTGTTGTGTGCTGGAAGATTCATGTTAGTAGAGTATTGAATTGGCATCTTATCTTTGCAGGAGGATACAACACACAAATGTATAATAGAGAAGTAATAGGAGGAGATACTATAATTTTTATGTGGAAAACCGTGGAGTGGGAAAAAATCATGGAGTCTAGCCAGACGAAGTAATCCATCATGTAATTGTGAGTGGATAGGTCCACTCTTCTCTTGACTTAGAAACGATGGAATTGTAGAAGTACAATAATGGTCCGACTTTAATGGTTGTATATGAGCTACAACAAATTTAGTTTTTAGTGGTTGTAATAGACTCAGCTTGCCATAAAGGTTTGTAGTTGAAAGCCCAAGTAGTGGTTGGCCTTATAGGTTATTGTTGTCAGTTTTAATAGCGTCAGTTGACCACAAAAGCTGTAGTTGAAATCTGTAATAGTGTCAGTTGGTCACAAGGTCCATAGCGAATGGCTGTAATGACAGCAGAAAACCACGTGTTCCATAGTAAAGAGCTGCACTAACGTTTGTAGGCTGTAAAGACCGGAGTTGGGAACTGCATGAATTGTGAGCCACATAAATCGTAGTTGGTCACATTAGGCGCAGTGGTGAGTTGCGATAGCATTGACGGGCTACAAAGGCTATAACATAGAGCTATAATGACAACAGTTTGCCACATAGACTATAGTAGGAAACTGCAATAACATCTATAGACTACATAAGTCAGAGTTGGGAGCTAAATGGGTTGTGAGCCACGTAGGCCATGGTTGGTCACACAGACTGTGTTGGTGAGCTGCAATAGCATCTGTAGGTCATAAAGGGCACGTTTAGGAGCTGTAATAACATCTATTGGCCAAAGAGACCAGAGTTTGGAGCTGTGTGAGCTATGTAGGTTGTAGTGGGTCACCTAAGTCCTAATGGTGATTTGCAATAGGATCCATAGGCCTTAGTGGTTGGAGTTGGAAGCCTGATCGATAAAAAAACCGATGATATAAGGTGCGTAAAGCAGAAACGGTAGACACAACACTTATCTGATAGTTAACCCGTTGGTTATGAAAAAGGACACATAAACGATGTTTTACCGACAGTTTTAGTTGAGTCAAAATACCGATGTGTGCGACACTTTTCTGACAGTTAACCCTTCAGTTATAAAAAAATGATGCATAAATGAATCATAACAGACGCTTTTGTCTGCGTAAAAAAATCGACTCGTGAGACGCTTTTGCAACGTGTATGTCATTGTTGTTATCGACGGAGGAACCGTCGGTTATACAAAACAACAATTTGAATTTTCTTGAAAAAGAAATTAAATTCTCGGATAACCGTCGGTACTTTTATACAGTCAGAATATCGACGGATAACCGTCGGTACTTTTATACAGTCAGAATATTGATCGGTTTTGAAATTACTGGCAAACATTTTACCTATGAGCTTAAAACCGTCGATAAATTGTCAATAACATTAAAAATAATTACTGACAAACATTTTACCTATGAGCTTAAAACCGTTGATAAATTGTCAATAACATTAAAAATGACTGTTTTTTTATCATAACCGGGAGAATGTGGCCGCCAGAAAAACCTAAATTCCTGTAATGTGTGTATGATAAGTTGTTATTTGTAATTGAGAAGGGTGCTTTCAATTCTTTCAAACTAAATGAAAGTGTTGCTTGAAACATAAAAGAACAAACGAAGAACGAAGGAGTAGAGACTTACGCTACATGGGTTTCAAACCGAAGAAGACGAACGAAGCAATCGTGAGAGGGAAATCGACAGAGTGCAAGGAGCGAGGACTTCTAGGAGAGTTGAACGAGTAGAGAGAAAACGAAAAGTAACTGACGAGCTGCAAATAGATACACAAATAAGAGTTTTGTTCGTGCTTTTAAATTGAGGAAGCGATAACAATTATTCTATTATGCAAGAAATTTGGCGAGAGAGAGATAAGCAGATAGATAATTAATTACTAATTACTCAATTAATTAATCAATTAACTTAATTTTTTTTAGTTTATTTTCTCGCTCTCTTTTTATTATTATTATTATGTGCTCAACAGTTCATTAGGGATGATTGTAATTTGATATGGAGAACATAAACAAACAATTCAGAGTGTATAATGATGGTCTGACTGTAATGGTTGTATATGAGCTACAACAAATTTAGTTCTTGGTGGCTGTAATAGACTCAACTTGCCATAGAGGGTTGTAGTTGAAAGTCGTAGTAGTGGTTGGCCTTATAGGTTATTGTTGTCAGTTTTAATGACATCAGTTGACCACAAAAGTTGTAATTGAGATCTGTAATAGTGTCAGTTGGTCACAAGGTCCATAGAGAAGGGCTGTAATGAAAGCAAAAAATCACGTATTCCATAGTAAGGAGCTGCACTAACGTTTTTAGGTTATAATAATCGGAGTTGGGAGTTGCATGAGTTGTGCGCCATGTAAGTCGTAGTTGGTCACATTAGACATAGTGGCGAGTTGCGATACCGTTGACGGGTTACAAAGGTTGTAACAGAGGGCTATAATGACAACAGTTTGCCACATAGACTATAGTAGGAAACTGCAATAACATCTATAGACTACATAAGTCAAGACCACATAAGTCAGAGTTGGGAGCTAAATGGGTTGTGAGCCACGTAGGTTATGGTTGGTCACACAAACTGTGTTGGTGAGCTGCAATAGCATCTGTAGAAATAACATCTGTAGGTCATAAAGGACACGTTTAGGAGCTGTAATAACTTCTATTGACCAAAGAGGTCAGAGTTTGGAGATGTGTGAGCTGTGAGCTACGTAGGTTGTAGTTGGTCACCTAGGTCCTAATGGTGATTTGCAATAGGATCCATAGGCCTTAGTGGTTGGAGTTTAAAGCCTGATCGATAAAAAACCGACTACTTAAGGTGCATCACACAGAAACGACAGACACAACATATATTTGATAGTTAACCCGTTGGTTATAAAAAATGACACATAAACGATGTTTTACCGACAGTTTTAGTTGAGTCAAAATACCGATGGGTGCGACACTTTTCTGACACTTAACCCTTTAGTTATAAAAAATGATGCATAAGTGAATCATAATGGACGTGCTTGTCCGCGTAAAAAAACCGACTCGTGAGATGCTTTTGCAATGTGTATGTCGTCGTTGTTATCAACGGAAGAACCGTCAATTATACAACCAACGATTTGAATGTTCTTGAAAATAATTACGATATTAAATTGTCGGATAACCGTCGGTACTTTTATATATTCAGAATATCGGTCGGTTTTGAAATTACTGACAAACATTTTACCTATGAGCTTAAAACTGTCAATAAACTGTCAATAACATTAAAAATGACTTTTTTTATCATAACCGACAGACTGTGGCTGCCAGAAAAAACCTAAGTTCCTATAGTGTGTGTATGATAACTTGCTATTTGTAGTTGAGAAGGGTGCTTGCAATTCTTTCAAACTATATGAAAGTGTTGCTTGAAACGTAAAAGAACAAACTAAGAATGAAGGAGTAGAGACTTACGCTACATGGGTCTCAAACCGAAGAAGACGAACTAAGCGATCGTGCAATGGAAATCGACAGAGTGCAAGGAGCAAGGACTTCTAGGAGAGTTGAACGAGTAGGGAGAAAACAAAAAGTAACTGACGGGCTACAAAGAGATACACAAATAAGAGTTTTGTTCGTGTTTTTAAATTGAGGAAGCGAGAACAATTATTCTATTACGCGAGAAATTTGGCGAGAGAGAGGTAAGCAGATAGATAATTAATTACTAATTACTCAATTAATTAATCAATTAACTTAAATTTTTTTTAGTTTTTTCTCTCGCTCTCTTATTTTTATTTTAAATTTTGTGCTCAACAGTTCATTAGGGATGATTGTAATTTGATATGGAGAACATAAACAAACAATTCAGACTGTATAAAGTAGCTTCTTTCCACAAATTTAGGTTGCTTTTTCTCGCTCTCTCTTCTTTTTAACATTACGTTGCTCTTCGTAGGAGCTAGAGGGGATATTCACAATTACAAGAAATCGATCCTTAAGTGAAGGCTCTAATGATACATTTGATCTATACTCTAAATAAGGATCATTAGAGAACTCTAAAAAGCCAAAGTAAGATGAAATGTGTGCTGTGATGCACAAACCTTTTATAATAACTAAGTGTGTTTGGCTATATATGTATATATATATGTATATATATATATGTATATATGTTAAAAGGATCGGCCAGAGGGCGGAATATAATGAATGTACACGTGTGTTTGCCACACGTATATATCTTGAATAATAAATTTAAACTTTAAGGATATATTATACAAATCTCTTAATTAGTCTCTTCTTATTTAGAGTACATTACTTAAAAAAATTTTAATAGCTAGTTAAGTTAACATAAAATTACCGTCCTTATTATTATTTTTTTTTCCAATAATTTGTATAGTACTCATCTTTTATTTTGTTTAGAAAAGAAACAATTTTCTCAGCATTAAATTAATTAAACTCTGATCAAAAGTAATTATTTTTACTCATTTTAATTGTCAAATTCATCTTTTCATCCATAGGTAAAGGGATTAAAATAAATACTAATTAGCTATTATATACCTTTATTGCTCCATTACCTTTGTTACATATATACAAGCACATCATTAATATACTTATAATACTTTATTTATATAATATTTCAACAATTCAAATTTTAAAATCAATACATTATTATGACAACATCATGCATTTTTTACACATGAGGAGAAAGACTTGAAGTGAACTCCATCAAAGAATGATCTTTTTTAGTGTACTCGAAAGAAGAAACTTGTGGCTATATCAACAATTATGTTACATGAATCTTTTCGAAGATAACATCTCTTATTCTATCACATATACATGAAATATTAACATATGCTAACTATTTTTTCTTTGATATGAAAAATATATGAAGAGTCATGATTTCAAAATCTATAGTGGAGGGTGCTATTTTGCACACATATATATATATATATATATATATATATATATATAT